ATCTCTGCTATTAACAGAACCCTTTTTATAGTGCCAAGAGAATAATTACTGGTGAAGTTATGAGGCAAAACCTCTCATACATGAGTAGGAAAATTAAAATCTTCTTAAGAAGTCAAATGTGTAAAAATCTGGACAGGGTTAGAGTACAATTGAAGAGAGACAAGAATTGTGAAGTGATTTAGAGTTGATGGAATCCAGTAAAGATTTCTTAGTGTGCTGAAAGAAAATGTATACTGAAAATAAAACTGAGAAGAGAAAAAGAGAAAAAGTCAAATAATATGTCACTAGACATAGTCTCAAATTCATCTACCAAATCACTTTTCAACCCATCCAGCTCATAAAGACTAGACAATCCTTAGAGAAAGGGGAGTGGGCAAGCTTATCTAGTCATTACTTGCACTGAACTTCTGTCCTCTCCTCAGCCTTCAATTGTACCCATCAGCTTTGTTGGCACTCCAATGGCTGCCTGTCTAGCATGGCAACCATTTCAAAGTTCATCCTTTGTCTATTTTAGTTTTTCTCACTAAGCAAATTATTTTATCCCAAACAAATTATTTTAGTAGAAACATAGAGAACAGTAGAATTTCATCATCATCATTAAGTGGCATATTTATGTCAGTGCATAATCAATGTAGGTTCAGATGCATTTAACTAACTTTTTAATTAGTAGAAATTGGGCAAGACACAGTTTTAGGTATCACCACTGGATTTCTGAAATAAATAGTAGTCATTTAATGTCCCACCTCTGGTTTCTGTATAATATTGGAATCAAGTTACAAAATCTCTTAGATTCTAATTCCTAAAAATTCTGGTTTTCATTTTTAGCTATGACAAATGTGAAACAATTTAGACCAATTGAAGATCCCCTTTGATAAAAAGCCTAAAATTTCAGAATAATTAAGTAAATAACTGTTATGGATTACAATTAGAAATAATGATAATTTTGAAGATTAATGAGGACATATTTTTAAAAGGAAGTGAGAAAATAATGAAACAAAGCTAGAGGGAAAAAAAGAAAGTTAAATATCTGAATATTTGCATTAAAATGCTTTGGAAAACTGCCTACATTATAGAAATTCCTAATATTAAAATTTTAATGAAAGTTTTATATTTCTGTTGGTATTTTTTCTGTTTAAAAGCCCTTAAAAAAACCCCTCAATCAGAAGGTTTACTGTCTTCACTAAAATAGTGAATAAAGTCCAAGTAGGTATTAGCATATGGATAGAACAAAGTATTATCAAACAAAGAAAGGTCTGACACACGCAAAAAGATTAAGGATATCAAAAAAAAAACACACAAGCCGGGGATTTAGCTCAGTAGTTTCCCTGCCTGCTGTGCAAGCGCAAGGACCCGAGTTTGATCCCCGGTACCAAAAAAAACAAAAAAACAAAAAGATGCCCTCAGAAATCTCTCTTTGGGGCTGGGGATTTAGCTCAGTGGTTCTGCCGCCTGTCTTGCAAGCGCAAGCACCCGAGTTTGATCCCCAGTACCAAAAAAAAAAATAGTTAAACAAAAAAACACACAACTCCATTTTAAGATAGTAATACTAAACATTTCTAAGTAACTTATAATGTTTTAATTATAAACTTACATAAAGGAAAAATTATTGAAGATATCAACTGCCAACTTTTATTCATTTGCTACTTTTACTTTATTTCTTAATGGCAAATAAAATTTCCAGATTTTAAATAAATTCGTTTAACCAAATAATCAATCAGAAACTATTCCCTGACAGGTAATTATAAGTTGAACACTGCATGATGACAAAGGTCAGCCAGCTCCCTGATTTCAAGTGATTGGCTGACAGGTCCCTGGTACTTAGGTGTAGTCTCCAAGATAGCCCTGAGTTCATTCTCCCCCAATAAGTCACATGGTGGCAAAATTCCAAGAAAGTAGGGTTTTTTTCCTTCTGTTTAATAATTCTACGATAGTAGAAGTTATAAAATAATAAATTACTATGGAACTTCTAACCTAAGGAATCCACTGTAGAGTTTCATTTTAAAATAAAAGCTGATTTTGAATTCTTCAGACACTGCACCCAGGTTACTATTTTCATACAATCATGGAAATTTAAAATGCAAAGTTAATTGAAAGTATAAAGATGAAAAGCAAGTTCTATGCCTAAAATAGTGCACGACAGTCATGTTTCACTTAACTCTCAAGTCAGAACACAATTAAGAATTCTAGGTGTGACATGCCAAATATTTTAGACATACAAGAATGCATACAACAGAATCTGTACCAATTACAAACTTAAACACTTAACTTATAAGGCAATAAGTCCATGCTTGAATGTTGACAACAAGGAATGTTTCTCATATTTTCAGAGAGTGATGCTGCATATAATCCCATTACCTCTTTATACAGTACTGAAAATTCATAGTCATATTTCCCCAATCTTTGTATCATACCCCAAAGTCAAAATAACTAAAAGGAGCAAAAGATCACTGATACTCTGACCCTAACCTATGAAGAATTTCTTTCCTAATAACAAATTTGAAAAGTAACAAATATTACACGATGGAACACCATTAAGAACAAATCATATAAAATTTAACAGCATAGATATATACAGAAAATCTGCCTGATGCTCTAAACTTTATCCTATTTTTATAAGTGAACACTCTTTTTGTACAGTTATGTTGAGAGTTAAGGAAAAATTATAACTTTTAATGTTTTCCTTATCATATCTGTTGCTACATCCCTTTCATTAAAAGATGTATTTCATAATTGAAGCATAAGATGATTCAGTTAGAAGTCACTGCTAACTAACAAAAGAAAAAAAATACTGTATGTCAAAATGTACCAATGTATTGATTTATCAAGAGTGAAAGGTAGATCAGTAAAATATAGAATCATATTTATATACTCTCAAATTATAAAACATCATGAGAAATAAAAGACATTAAAATATCCTCTTAAAAATTCAATAAGTATCTTTGCCCAACATACATAAATAAAACAAGAAACATTATTCTTGTTTCAGACTAAAGTAAGACTATAGTAAATAAATAATTTCATTCTCTTATATGCAAAAACAGTCTATGAGAAATAAAGTAATAAGTACAAACAAGATTACCCCTTCACATCACATATGTTCTTTTTAAAATCCCTTTTTAAAACTGGTGATATATTTAGGCTGTAATATCCAAATAAACACACTTTCTAAATGTGTTGTAAATTAAAAGTGATTTTCACACCTATTCTTGAAACCCACTGTCATACAAACCTCAAGACATCCCACTTTGTATTTTATCTGTCAATTTACTTCTTTCCCACACACTCACATCAATTTTCCCATTCCCAAGTTAGATTTTCAAATCCCTGAGGGCAGGACCTATCTATCTTTTTATTCCCCCTTGTGCCCAATATTGTGGCAGGCAAGATATGGGGTGCTCCGTGGTTATTTAATAAATGGAGGAATGCATGACTAAGAAAGAAAGTATCCCCACAACTGTCAGCTTTTTATCTTTCCTATCTCAACTGAATCAAATGAAGATGGATTCAGTGACGTATTTCCACAGTGAAATGAAGTATAATTACTAAATTGTTCTCTATGTGAAAATACATAACGCTATCACCCAATCTGTACTCTGTAGAACCCTTACATGTGAGATAGTAAAATGTTTCCTCTTCCCTTAATAAAGAGGTTCCACTGTGGCAAAAAAATTTGACGAATCCAGTTTTTTAAAATATTCAAGTAATATTTTTTAAATGCTAGACTTCTTCAAGCACATGATATGCTGGTGTTCAGTATCACTCTCTATCGAAAAATATTTTTGGTTGTGGATCACCTCAGCAGAAGAATTTTCTAATGAAGAAAGTTTGAGAAGCAACATTTTGGAAAAATAAACGACAGTATGTGAAATTTCCTTCACCAAATCTCCTTTACTTGATGGAAATATTTAGCATCCGCTAAATATTCATCACTCTGTTGCCACAAAAAGTACAATGAAGGAAAGCTATCATGAGCATTGCTCTGCACCCATCTGCTCATGTTGAAAGGTTAGGGAAATATCTGCTCACTGTGTCTGATACTCTGCAGGGTCTGGTTATTACAGATTTTGAAGAGCTTTTTAAACTTCTCTCAAAATATTTCTTTGCTTCCTCTCCTTTTTCTATCCTTTTCTTCCAACTTTGTATGTACAAAAGTAATACGACTTGTGAATGGCATCTTAAGACATCTTCAGACAATGGATACTTATGTTTGGTTAATCTTTGGACATGTACAAAAAACATAGTCATTAACAAACAGGGTAACTATTACATTTCTATGAGGAAAATGTCATATCTATTAGATATGCTTCTAACACTTCATGCAGGTCAATTATAATTCTGTAAAATAATTCAATATACTTTCTATATGACTAAACTATAAATAGCATACTGAAAGATGTTTCTGTATAAGGAGAAAAGTACTTCGGGAATCAAGAAAAAGCAGGAGGCTGGCTAACTCTTCAGTGTTGGCTGTCACAGATCTGGGCTATTGCCAACTGTGCCATTAGCTGTATGACTTCAGTACTTTCCTTAGTATTTCAAGATATCAGGTGTCTCTTCTGTAAATGAGAGGAAGTAATAAGTTTAGTGGCTTTCAAATTATTTGCATTACGGACTGTTATGGTAGTGGGTTATGAAGAACAGGGGAATGGAGAGGAGACACCAACCAAGTGGGACTCTGACCTCAGTGCCATGTTTCACTGAGCAGCTTCATCATTACCAAATGTTTTATATATTAAAATTCAGAGCACTGTTTGTTTTTAAATGAATATCACTAATTTTAACAGGGGAAATCACAAATTGCATGATGTAAAGAGATGTTTAGCTATAATATTCTCCAGTTCACATTTTTATGAATGTTTTTAATCTGAGGAAACATATATTTTTACATTGTTTCTATTCATTCATGTGCTGTTGGTTCAAGTAAAACAAAAGCTTAATGACTTATTTTTAAATAGCTTATTCTATAGTATTATAATATTTTTCTCATTAAATAAAATGATGAGTTCATGTGTTGCTTTTCAAAATAAACATAAAGAGAACAAGAAGGCTGGATAAAGTCAGCTCCTGTCCATGCTTAACTTTAGAGCTATCTTTTCACACTGCCTTTGGGCACTTAAATACTGTACTGCATTATCTTTGAGGTAGAACCAAAAGAAAAAAGGAAATAGCAAAAACATTCAAATAAAGAGGGAAAATGGGAAAGAAAGCTGTAAGAGATTTCTTTTTGACAGGATTATCATCAAGCTTTGCAGTCCTCTATGACACAGAGTTGAGAAATGGTCTTCTTAATCCGAAGAGCAGTTAAGCGTGCTGCCCCATTGGCATACCAACACTCGCGCATTATCCTCCCCATGACTCGGAGTGCCTTTAAGAGAGGAAAAAAAATCAAACAATTAGCTACTTACACAGACAAAGTACAAAAGAAGCAAAATCACAAACCCAGTGATTAATTCTAAGCTTGATGAAAAAACCATAGATTTGAAACAATACAAAGAGATTGAGATCAAACTCCAAAAATTCTCTTAAAACTCCAAACTATTAACTTCATAGAGACCAACTTAATTGAAAATTCAACTCATTGTTGTCTGAGATTGTGGCAGAATAGCTTTTTAAAAATTCTCCAAGAAAAGACATGAAAAACATGAAGGAACATAGAAAGGGTTGAGAAATTCCCTGTGTCTTGACCTGAGTGGTAAGTACATGTGGTTATATATGAAAAAGGTGCATCACACTCTCGACTAAGGTTTATGCTTTTTACTATATGTAAACTATATCACAATAATAACAGTGCTCCAAGCATAAATATCAAAAATACTCATTTTAAGTCATCATAAAAATATTGACAAAAAAAGAAGATAAATACTTAGGGGGAAACAACATGAACACATGAAAAAGAGAGTGACAGGCATCTCTGAAGCAGGTAGCTGCTTTGGTAGCATCTGCTGATTTTGTGGTCTATATTAGAATTTCAGAACTGGTGGCACATGTGTGAAAGACAGGAAACTCAGCCTAAAGCAAACAGAAAATGTCAAAGATGCTTAAAGCCCCAAATTTTAGGATGAGTCTAACCTAGAAAGGAAGTTTGTAAGAGAAATTGCTGAAGTCTTGGCTTTTGGTGAAGAAAAAAATCAAGCCCATAATTCTAAACATTGCAGTAAAGCTGAGCTCATAGTGAAAGTCCACAAATATCTGAGAAAACAAGCTACTATAAACAGAGCCAATTGAAACAATAACCAATAAAATAGATCCATAAGTCAAATACATAATTAAATGATATAAAGTAAGAATATAAAATATGGTTTGAAAAAGAAAAATTCCAAATATGAGTAAAAACCAAAAGTATTTTTAAAGTACCAATAAAATTTCTTGATATGAAAAATATAACAAAGTACTCAATGGATGGGTCAAATAGCAGATTAGATAAATCTGAAGACAGTTAAAGAACTGGATGATAATTCTGAGAGATAAAGCATAAATACACAAATATGAGCAAATAAAAAACTAGCTAAGTATAATGAAAGGTTAATGTGAATCCAATGCATTGTCAAAAAATAAGCATTAGAGACAATGAGAAAAGAAAGTATTTAAATAGAATATTTCAGAACTGAGAAATAACACAAATTCTTAGAATTAAGAAGGTTATAAAATCCACTCAAGATTAACTAAGAAATATCACAGAGAAACTGCTGAACACTAAAGACACAGAGAAGTTCTAAAGAGTAGTCTGAAATAAAACATAAAAATAAACACAAATTGGTAATTTTCTGACATCTCAACAGCAATAATGGAAGTCAGATGACAGTGGAATAGAAACTTTAAGGTATTTATAGAAAACAACTGTTACTCAAAATTTGTATGCCTAAATTAGTTCAAGATTGAGGACAAAATTGAGACATTTTTGGACAAGCCAAACTGGAAGAACTTAAAACCACTACGTCATCACCTAGGGAGAAAAGAAAAACTTTTAAAGGATATCAGGAAGTCAGAAAATGATTTTAGAAGAAAGCCCTGAAAGAAGAAATAGTAAGCCAAGAAAATGATAATATCTAATATAAAGGATTAACCTAAAACAAGATATAAATAGTTACAAAATTGCATGTATCAACAATATGCAAAATTGATCACACAGAAGACTATATGGGGTGTATGCTAGAAATGCATATTGGTTTAACAGTGGTAGTCTATAAATGCAATTCATTCCTTTAAAAAGCTAAAGCAGAACTACATCAGCATAAACAAATCAGATGAAAAATCTGAAAAGTTTTCTAATATACCTTCTGGTTTAAAACTCAAAAATCAGGGGCTGGGGATTTAGCTCAGTGGTTTTGTTGCCTGCTGCACAAGTGCAAGGACTCAAGTTCAATCCCCAGTACCAAAAAAAAAAAAAAAAACTCAAAAATTATTAATGGCTCAAGACACATTGGTAAAAGGAAGGAACAAAAGAAAAGAGGCTGTGAATTCTGTTGCAAGAGCACAATAGACTTGCAAAGTCTAACTTCACATGGTTTTGCTGTTAGAGAAGTGCTCAAAATTACAGAAGCTTCCACTTATTTCCACAAAATTTCCTACATGTGTTGACATTAATGTGTGGCAACCAGTTCCTACCCAGATAAGTGACAATTACACTTTATTTTACTTTATAGATATTTAATGCACAGGCAGACACTGCTGTATTTAGAAGTTTCTATTTCAGTTCATTAAAAACTTCAAAACCAATCTGTATCATGTACCAAACTGATTTAAAAAAAACTAAACCAGAAGTGACATGATATCACCTTATCAACAGGGACCAAGCCTTTATTAAAACCAAACCTCAAGTTTTATTTAATCTAATTGTTTACAACAAATTAAATTTTGAAATGAATTATATGTATATATAAAAATATATATACACACATATATATACACTGATATATATCATATATCATACTCAAAAGTGAAAAGTTAAAAGTTTTAAGGAGGAAAATAAAGATACCCACTAGGTAAGATAAGTACAAAACATAAAAATACAAAGATTTACCTCATATAAAAAGTTTAGAAATAGAAAAGAGGAAAAAGATTAGGAAAAAGGGGAAAAGGCACTGATATAAAACAGTAGTTCCAGTTCTGGGATAACAACAACAAAAAAATAGCACTGGTCTCTGCTGTGAGGGACCTTTTCTGATGAGGGAAATTGAGTTCAAACTTCAATAGGTTAGGATTAGGAATAATCTATAGATTATAAGGATGATGAAAACTAGAATTGGGATTGTGTATTGGCATAAACATCGACCATCCACTGAGTTTGCCATGACAACTTGGGATCCCTTCCTTGCTGGGACCATGTGACTGGTTCTGGTCTGAAGCACAAATGGAAATATGTCCCGTGCCAAAGCATTATGGAGCCAGTGTGTCATCCTCAGTCCCCTCTCTTCTGACCTTGAGACCTGGGAACTGTGCAGGGAGACACACACCAAGGATCAGTGAGCTTCCTCAGTGTGAACAGAGGTCTACCTATAGTGGAAAGTTGCCCATCTATAGAGGATTCAATGTAAGTGAGATAGGAAGCCTTGTTGTATAAATTCACCAGGACTTTAGGGAGCGTTTGCTATGGATACATACTGCTAAAGAAAATAAAATAATTCTGATGACATATATGGAATGAATGGGATGGTTAAAAAAGTATTGCATGGTCTCTCAAAATTCTCCCTGATACTCATGTGAAAAATATAACAGATGGAAAGAACACCCATAGGAACATAGCTTAGGACTGCAAACAAAAGCAAACACAAACACAAAACAAAAGCCAGGAAGCCTTACTTCACAGCTTTGCCACTGGTTTGGGATGCTTGGTCGAAACTTCTGGTCACAAACAACTTTCCTCATTTCCTCTATCGAGGGATCTGAGGGCACCATATCATAATAAGGCAACTGGTACTCCTCAACAATTCCTGTAAGAAATTTGCATAATAAGTATCCCTGTATAAATAATGAACAAAGATGTCCACCTAAAAATATCATTTAGGCACAAGTGATACTCTGGGAAGTAAGGTTCATTAAAGTAATGCGGTACTATAAAGACCAAGAATTCAATTAAAAACACTCAAAAGACTAGTTATGTAAAGTTATGAAATTTTACATTGTGAAAATATAAAAATCGATGTAATAGCATACACAATGTTATACAAAATTTATATAATTTTTATCATTTCCCAAAATTATATCTTTTCTACTATAAAAATTATATAAATTTTTACTTACATAAAATTCAACTTTATAATTCAAAAATAATAGCTGGGGAGCCACAGAGACGGCAGGCTGGGCGCGCTGGCAGCCTGAGGCGGGCCCTCCCGACCCACAGCCCTGCCGGCCCGGGGAGAGCAGAGAGCTCCTGCCCACGACGCGGCGGCTGAGTAGAAGAAAGCCAACCTGCTGGTTTGCTGACCTTTTGAGCCAAGAGACCTCTTCCACAAGCTTCATTAGGGCCAGATTCTCGAGCGACACTCTGAAGGTGGCGTTTTTAATCAACGGGTGGGCGCTGATGAAGCAGGCCCGTGGCAGCCAACAGTAGGAAACCTCCGGCTGCAACCGGCAGGTCCTGGTGGCCGATGCGTGCCCCTCGAGCCCGGCCTGTATGGCATCCTTTCCCACAGAGCTCTGCAGCTCCAAGTTACCATCCCCAAGCCTCCCTTGAGCCAAGCTTGGTGGTCTGCTCACGCCAGTGCCTCTGCATTCTCAAGGACCCAGCTCCAGCCTGGGGATCTGGACCAAGCCAATGAAAAAGTAATGTACTGGAAGGTGAGCCGGTCCCAGCACCCGGAAGGAAGCTCCCCCACCACCATCCCAAGCTCCTAGGGCAGAGAAAGTGAGCCACGCAGGTGCCAGAAGCACCCCCCACCCCCTTGGAAATGAGAAGACACATAAACAAGCCTCAAAAACAGACTTCTGGGTGGCACGGAACCTGACAAATCAGCCCGTTGCAGACAGGCAGGTCTGTGCATGCCCTACCAAGGTCCCAAGTCATGCGGAACATGCCGAATCAGCCCGCTGCAGAGAGGCAGGTTTGCCCACGCCCTACCGAGGTCCAGAGTGGCACAAAACATGCCGAATCAGCCCGCTGCAGACAAGCAGGTCTGTGCACGCCCTACCAAGGTCCAGAGTTGCATGGAAGATGCCGAATCACCCCACTGCAGAAAGACAGCCACCTGGTTCCACACTACAAAGATGCAGAGGACACAAGACCACCAGACCAAGGTACTGAGTCCCGCTGCTCCTGACCCAGTGGTAGGGGCTTCTGAGCCGCCGTCCCACTGCTCCTGGTCCAGAGGAAGGGGCTTCCCGGTCACCATCCCTCCCGCTGCTCCCAGCCCAGAGGAAAGGGCTTTTGAGGGGCTTCTGAGCCGCCGTCCCACTGCTCCTGGTCCAGAGGAAGGGGCTTCCCGGTCACCATCCCTCCCGCTGCTCCCAGACCAGAGGAAAGGGCTTTTGGGCCACATTCTGTCCCACTGCTCCTGGGCCAGAGAAAGGGGCTTCTGGGCCACCATCCCTCCCACCGCTCCCGGCTCAGAGGTAGGGGCTTCTGAGCCACCATTCCACTGCTCTTGGTCCAGAGGAAGGGGCTTCACAGCCACCATCCCTCCCGCTGCTGCCAGCCCACAGGAAAGGGCTTTTGGCTCACCATCCCTACTGCTGCTCCTGGCCCCTGTCCCACCTCTCCCAGCTCAGAGGAGGTAATCCGTGCAGGCACCAACAGCCCCCCGCCCCAGTTGAAATGAGAAAACACATAAATAAGTCTCAAAACCAGACTTCCAGACAACCTACAGCAACCTCAAAGGGAAATGAGATGGAACACTCTGATACTCAACCACCTGGAC